GGTCACAGCTGACCTCCAGCTGGAGCAGTCAAGGGCCAGGGCTTCCCAGTTCTCAGTGTCTATGCCAGAGTTTTTAAGGTTGGCTTTGAGCCCATCTTTAAATCTCTTTTCCTGTCCACCAACATTCCGTTTTCCATTCTTGAGTTTGGAGTAGAGCAACTGCTTTGGGAGACCGTGGTCGGACAACGTGGCCGGTCCAGCGGAGTTGATGGCGGAGGACCATCACTTCAATGCTGGTGGTCTTTGCTTCTTCCAGCATGCTGACGTTTGTCCGCCTGTCTTCCCAAGAGATTTGCAGGATTTTCCGGAGGCAGCTGATGGAATCGTTCCAGGAGTTGCATGTGACGTCTGTAGACAGTCCACGTCTCACAGGCATATAGCAGGGTTGGGAGGGGAATAGCTCTATAAACAAGCACCTTGGTCTCCCTACTGATGTCCCGGTCCTCAAACACTCTCTGCTTCATTCGGAAAAATGCTGCGCTAGCAGAGCTCAGGCGGTGTTGTATTTCGGTATCGATGTTGACTTTGGTGGAGAGGTGGCTGCCAAGGGAGCGGATATGGTCAACATTTTCTAATGTTACACCATTAAGCTGTATCGCTGGCATTGGAGAGGGGTAGGATAAATCCCTGAATTATATAGCATTGATTAAAGAGGGGAGGTGTCCAACTACATTAATTCTACTCTGTAGATGCACCCCATGTTTTAAAGACTGCAGTCAAGAAATCAGAGGGCTGGAATTATGAAGGACTGCTATGAAGGAACTAGACAAGATCCTGAAGCAGAAAGATATGTCAGCAGATAGCAAAGTCAGAACCATCCAGACCATTGTATTCTCCATTTCCTTACATGGTCATGTAAGCTGGACAGTGAAGAATGTGGATAAAAAGATCAACTCATTGGAAACTTGGTGCCAAAACCCCCAATCAACTGGGTTCAGGAGCTAATGAGACCTGGACCTAGAAGACAAAACAGCCAAGCGGGGCTGTCATATTTTTGACATCTCATATTTATTTGTCGTGTCAGGGCAACCAGTCAATTATGTTACATTTCTAACAGAACAAAGAAAACAAACAGACAAATTACAGAATTTGTGAGTTTGGTAGTTGATTAAATGTCCTTTGACCAGTGTCTGGCCCCTGGGAGTGCCTCTGGTGTTACTATAAGGAGATCCTCCCTTGTGCATGTGGCAGGGCTCAGGGTGCATTGCAGCAGGTGGTCAGTGGTTGCAGCAGTGCATGTCGTGGATTCCACTTTGTGGCCCCATTTCTTGAGGTTGGCTCTGCATCTCATGGTGCCAGAGCGCAGTCTGTTCAGCGCCTTCCAAGTCGCCCAGTCTTCTGTGTGCCCAGGGGAGTCTCTCATTTGGTATCAGCCATTGGTTGAGGTTCTGGGTTTGAGCCTGCCACTTTTGGACTCTCGCTTGCTAAGGTGTTCCATGAAACATCTCATGAAACAAGAAACCAAGCAAACATGACCATTGTTTTCAAAGCAGAAGGCAATCGGAAAAGAGGCTCTGGGTGGATAGACTCTTCCCTAGGTTTGCAAGACCAGAGAGAAGCAGCTGGTGCTTGGGCTCTTGGAGAGCTTTCATCCATAGAGTCGCCATATGTCAAGGTTGACTTCATGGCATTAGAGCAACACCAGTGCTGGACTTGCTCCCATTTCTTGGTAAAATTTGCAGAAACAAGTTGGGTACCTCTTATCTGAAATGCGTGGGACCATAAGTATTTCGTATTTCAGATTACTTTCAGATTGTCGGGATACATGCGCATACAAGACATAATGAGATATCTTGGAGATGGGACCCAAGTTTAAACATGGGATTCATTCATGGTTCATGGGAACCTAGGTAATGTGATTAGCTAGCTCTTGTGTATAATATGTATCATATCATACACAATAACTTTATTAATTTTGTGCACAACTGTGCATCAGAAAGCAAAGGTGTCACTATCTGAGCCAATGTTTTGTACAGTTTTGGAGTATGTATTGTTGAAGGCTTTCATGGCCAGAATCACTGGGTTGTATATTTTTTGGGCTATATGGCCATGTTCTAGAGGCATTCTCTCCTGACGTTTCGCCTGCATCTATGGCAAGCATGCAGGCAAAACATCAGGGGAGAATGCCTCTAGAACATGACCATATAGCCCAAAAAAAACCCTACAACAACCCAGTTTTGGGATCCCAGATAAGGAATACTCAACCTTATGTAGTGAAATATCTTGAGGATGGGACCCAAGTCTAAATGTGAAATTCATTTATGTTTTATGTACACCTCATAGCATGAAGGCAATATTTGCAGTAATGCTGCACATGAAAGAAAGTGTGCAAGAGAGATATTGAAAAGCTGGAATGTGTCCAGAGGAGGGCGACTAAAATGATCAAGGGTCTGGAGAACAAGCCCTATGAGGAGCAGCTTAAGGAGCTGGGCATGTTTAGCCTGAAGAAGAGAAGGCTGAGAGGATATATATGATAAATATGTGAGAGGAAGTCACAGGGAGGAGGGAGCAAGCTTGTTTTCTGCTTCCCTGGAGATCTGCGGAACAATGGCTTCAAACTACAGGAAAGGAGATTCCACCTGAACATTAGGAAGAACTTCCTGATTATGAGAGTTGTCCAGCAGTGGAACTCTCTGCCTCCGAGTGTGGTAGAGGCTCCTTCTATGGAGGCTTTTAAACAGAGGCTGGATGGCCATCTGTCAGGGGTGATTTGAATGCAATATTCCTGCTTCTTGGCAGAAAGGGGTTGGACTGGATGGCCCATGAGGTCTCTTCCAGCTCTTTGATTCTATGATTCTATGTACCTTGGAAACCAAGGTGTAACTATATCAACCACCATGAAGGGAATATTTTAGTAATTTTGTGCATGAACCGAAGTTTATGTTCATTAGAAAGCAGTTTCTACTTCAAACTACACAAACTTTGAATTGGTGGTTCAAAGCTTGTGCATTGAACCACCAGAAAGCAAAGGTGTCACTATCTCAGTCATTCTTTTGGACAATTTTGGAGTGTTTTGGACTTTGGGATCCCAGATAAGGAATAATCAACCTTTATGGACATTAGAAAGCAAAGACATTGTTATCTCAGCTATCAGTGTGGATAATTTTGGATTACTTGGGATTTGATAAATCTGGATAAGGGATGCTCAATGTGTGCATGTGTCTGTGTTGTGTATGCAAAATATTACATTTGAAAGCATTATTCTTGGCTTAGTGAAGACATGGGCAAACTTTGGTCCTCCAGGTGTTTTGGACTTCAACTCCCACAATGCCTAACAGCCTATTGGCTGTTAGGAATTGTGGGAGTTGAAGTCCAAAACACCTGGAGGACCAAAGTTTGCCTATGCCTGGCTTAATGTTATGTGGAACTCTCTGCCCCGGAGTGTGGTGGAGGCTCCTTCTTTGGAAGCTTTTAAACAGAGTCTGGATGGTCATCTGTCAGGGGTTTTCATAGAATCATAGAATCAAAGAGTTGGAAGAGTCCTCATGGGCCATCCAGTCCAACCCCCTGCCAAGAAGCAGGAATATTGCATTCAAATCACCCCTGACAGATGGCCATCCAGCCTCTGTTTAAAAGCTTCCAAAGAAGGAGCCTCCACCACACTCCGGGGCAGAGAGTTCCACTGCTGAACGGCTCTCACAGTCAGGAAATTCTTCCTCATGTTCAGATGGAATCTCCTCTCTTGTAGTTTGAAGCCATTGTTCCGCATCCTAGTCTCCAGGGAAGCAGAAAACAAGCTTGCTCCCTCCTCCCTGTGGCTTCCTCTCACATATTTATACATGGCTATCATATCTCCTCTCAGCCTTCTCTTCTTCAGGCTAAACATGCCCAGCTCCTTAAGCCGCTCCTCATAGGGCTTGTTCTCCAGACCCTTGATAATTTTAGTCGCCCTCCTCTGGACACATTCCAGCTTGTCAATATCTCTCTTGAATTGTGGTGCCCAGAATTGGACACAATATTCCAAGTGTGGTCTAACCAAAGCGGAATAGAGGGGTAGCATGACTTCCCTAGATCTAGACACTATGCTCCTATTGATGCAGGCCAAAATCCCATTGGCTTTTTTTGCCGCCACATCACATTGTTGGCTCATGTTTAACTTGTTGTCCACGAGGACTCCAAGATCTTTTTCACACGTACGGCTCTCGAGCCAGGCATCCCCCATTCTATATCTTTGCATTTCCTTTTTTCTGCCAAAGTGGAGTATCTTGCATTTGTCCCTGTTGAACTTCATTTTGTTAGTTTTGGCCCATCTCTCTAATCTGTCAAGATTGTTTTGAATCCTGCTCCTGTCCTCTGGAGTATTGGCTATCCCTCCCAATTTGGTGTCGTCTGCAAACTTGATGATCATGCCTTCTAGCCCTTCATTTTGGATTACTTGGGATTTGATAAATCTGGATAAGGGATGCTCAATGTATGCATGTGTCTGTGTTGTGTATTCAAAATATTACATTTGAAAGCATTATTCTTGGCTTAGTGAAGACATGGGCAAACTTTGGTGCTCCAGGTGTTTTGGACTTTAGCTCCCACAATTCCTAACAGCCAGTAAGGCTGGGATTGTGGGAGTTGAAGTCCAAAACACCTGGAGGACCAAAGTTTGCCTATGCTTGGCTTAATGTTAGGTCCTTCAGTCCCTCTTGATAGTCTTTTTTGCTTCTTCCAGACATCCACAGATTCCAAGGTGTTTTTTCCTCCATGTCTCCCTCTACTTTAGTTGTTTTGAGTCCATCTTCATGTGTGTGTTCACGGGCTCTCCCTTTCCCTTTCCATCCCCTCGTTCCTTTCCCTTAAAGCAAGAGGGGAAAAAAGGGAGACAAGAGGGAGATGGGTGATAAGGATTCCTGAGCCACCTTAATGAGCAGGGAGAGGCCGCACGCCATTGGAGTGGCGGAGTCCAGGTGCGCCACACTTTGACAGGTAGAGAGGCGAGCCGGTCCGCCCCTCCCTCCCTCCCCAAAAGGAGAGAGGTATATAAGGCAACCTTACATTATCTGACTAAGCACAAGCGGGTCCTCAAGACAGAGAGAGAGATTGTGCCAGCGGGCCATCCGTTCTGGCACCTGCTGCAAAGTAGGGTCTCTTTGGGGGGTGGGATCAAGGGGGGCACGAGCCCTGGCGCCCGAGGAGAGGACCACCGCCCTGCGAAACCTCGCCGCAAACATGTTGTACCTCGAGAATAATGCCCAGTCCCAATACAACGAGGTAAGGCGTTTGGCACCTTCTCTATCTCGCCTCACTTCTTGCTGTTCCTTCTGATAATGCAGGACAACCCAAAACATGGCCTTTGGGAAATCTTTTATGGCAACCCTTGGCATGTCCTCTTGGGTGTGCTTCTCACTTCAGAGTTTTGTCCGCAGCTCCTTTGTTGGGTGTGAAGTCCAAACAGACACATTCAAACAGATAAATTGCCTCCTCTGTGTTGACTGTAAACCAATGTAACTCATCTTTTTATTGACGCACAATAGACCGCGGCCAGAGCGAAGAGGGATGCAATGCAAACACGGAGCTTCTTCGGAGGCGAGATTGTTTGCAGATCTGGAGTTAATGGAGCTTGTTTTCCCTTAATGTGGCTCATTGTTTGCATCCGGAGAGAGATGCCTCTTTGAATCTCTGTCAACAAGCCATGCATTGATGCGACTGGAGCACTTTTCTGTCTTTCTGTCTCTCGTTCTCTCTGTGGCGCATTGCCTGGATGCCTTGTTTGCCAAGCAATTACTTTCTGTTTGGGTACAAGAGAGGTAAAGTGTACCTTGGACTACGTTAAGATTGAGGAATTGTGTGTGTTTGTATATATATGTGTGTTTGGGTGCGCATTTGTGTGTGCCAAGAAAAAGCCTGCTGTGGAAATCAGACCATTTCGCTTCACTTGATGCTAATGGAAGGTTTACATTCCAGAAGAAGTGGCAGCTGTAGAGTTGGCGCTGCATGCAAAGGAAAGCCATCATCCTCTTAGGAAAGCTTTATCTTAGAGGATGATGAGGATGATGGACAAGAGCATGAACTCTGATTGTCCCCCGTCTCCAAATTTGCAAGGGAATAGAGGACAATTGAGGTTGGATGGTATGGATGGAAGAAAGATTTACTTTTGTCGAAGGCTTTCATGGCCGGAATCACTGGGTTGTTGTAGGTTTTTTCGGGCTATATGGTGATGATCTAGAGGCATTCTCTCCTGACATTTCGCCTGCATCTATGGCAAGCATCCTCAGAGGATGCTTGCCATAGATGCAGGCGAAATGTCAGGAGAGAATGCCTCTAGATCATCACCATATAGCCCGAAAAAACCTACAACTTCCCAAAGATTTACGTTCTTTCGTACTTTACTTTTGTCCTTCCTTTTTCTCCGTATTGGAACTGGAGACGGCTAATGACAGATAGAACAAGATGCAAATTAAAGCAAGACATGTTTATTAAAATATTAGTATAAACATTTTTAAACCTTTGTGTCTTTTCCCTTCTTTTGGGAACCGATCAGTCCTAGTTCGCTCTATGGGAATGGTTGTGATGGAGCTGGGATTTTGCACCCTCTCTTTCCCTCCTCCACTTTCTTTTCATGGAAAAATCCCAAAGGAGTGAGACATCCTTGCAAAATGGAAACCTCACGGAGTGCTTCAACGCAGCGATTCCCAAATGCTGACCCTGCAGGGGTTTCAGGAAGCTTCTCCGTCTAAGCAAACCTTGTATTTGGAGATGTCTCCTAATGCCTTTGGTGGGCCTTGTGTTGGAATGGAGTGTGGAAGGGCAAAGCACAACGGAAGACAACACTGAACTTGGATGGCACCATATGCCTGCCATATTTTAGCTGTGGGTCTTAGTAGGGAAGGGGTTGGATTAGATGACCTTTGGGGCACCTTCCAATTCAGTCCACGACTATAGGCCAGGTGGACATAGAATCATAGAATCAAAGAGCTGGAAAAGACCTCATGGGCCATCCAGTCCAACCCCATTCTGCCAAGAAGCAGGAATATTGCATTCAAATCACCCCTGACAGATGGCCATCCAGCCTCTGTTTAAAAGCTTCCAAAGAAGGAGCCTCCACCACACTCCGGGGCAGAGAGTTCCACTGCTGAACGGCTCTCACAGTCAGGAAGTTCTTCCTCATGTTCAGATGGAATCTCCTCTCTTGTAGTTTGAAGCCATTGTTCCATTGCGTCCTAGTCTCCAAGGAAGAAGAAAACAAGCTTGCTCCCTCCTCCTTGTGGCTTCCTCTCACATATTTATACATGGCTATCATATCTCCTCTCAGCCTTCTCTTCTTCAGGCTAAACATGCCCAGCTCCTTAAGCCGCTCCTCATAGGGCTTGTTCTCCAGACCCTTGATCATTTTAGTCGCCCTCCTCTGGACACATTCCAGCTTGTCAATATCTCTCTTGAATTGTGGTGCCCAGAATTGGACACAATATTCCAGGTGTGGTCTAACCAAAGCGGAATAGAGGGGTAGCATTACTTCCCTAGATCTAGACACTATGCTCCTTTTGATGCAGGCCAAAATCCCATTGGCTTTTTTTGCCGCCACATCACATTGTTGGCTCATGTTTAACTTGTTGTCCACGGGGACACTTCTCTTGTTCTGCTTCAGCAACTCCAAGCCTCAGTTGCCCATTTGTGAAATGGAAATTTGAGAGGCCCATCTTCATTTGACCTCAGAAAAACACACTTTCAGGGCTTCATATATGCATTCACTTTAGGATCTTTAGGACCCATTCCGATCAACATTTTTCTGGAAACCGTGCAAACGCAGATATTTCATTCCTGTCCAGCATTGTCGTTTTGGACTTCTTTTGCTTATGAATTCCTAAACCGATCACGCCTCTGTTGACTGTCTGAAACATATCTTTTAGCTTTCCATTGTTTCTGGGCAGTTATCGTCCCTGATCACTTTTCACTCCCTTTTTTGCACTACTGTTTTGATCCTGTCTCTCCACCTGTCCGCTCCTGGCAGTTCATTACGGTCTTCATTCGCACGCCTTGCTTAAAACATTGTGTACATCACAGTGGCGTTCCTTTGCTGAAAGGGAACCTCTGGCTTGGCTTTAAAAATCAGACGGGTGTTTATTTTGTCTTTCCAGCGTGCTTGAGGGTGAAATTTCATTCTTTGAAACCTGGTCTCCGCGTATTTTCTTTCTGGCCAAGTAGGGCCAGTTCCCTCCCCTTTTGAAAGGAAAGTCTTTGTTTTTCTCTGCATCAAAACATTTGAAAGTGGGAGGAAGTTCTTTTCTTTTGCAGTTTTAAGCTAAATTTATATGGCACGGAGACTCGTGTTGTGCTATTTTTGTAACGTTTTGGGCCATTATATTTGCAATGCGGAGGAACCCGAAAATCGGTTCCTCCGCATTTCATGCTCATTTTGAATGGTTGGCACTGTTCCAATGAGGCAGAGTCCCAGACAAAATTAGCAAATTGCTCTGTACCCATTTCCCAAAATTTGGATGACTAGCCATGTTTACACCAAAATTATTTGTATCTTTTTTCCTGTAGTTCTGAGGATCTTTCTTTGGCTCACTTATTAGATTAGTAGACGCTGGACATGCTTTGACTTACTTTATCTTTATTTTCAAAAAATGTTTTCCTGCCTCTGTTCTGCATCCAAGTTGAGAAGATTTGCAGCATTTTATGTTAGAAGAGAAATAAAAAGAGTGAGTGTGTGAAATGAGATGGCGGAGGAAGAGAATTATAGATTCCTGGAGTTGGAAGAGACCTCATGGACCATCCAGTCCAACCCCATTCTGCCAAGAGCAGGAAAATCACATTCAAAGTATCCCCAACAGGTGGCCATCCAACCTCTGCTAAAAAGCCTCCAAAGAAGGAGCCTCCACCACACTCCAGGGCAGAGAGTTCCACTGCTGAACAGCTCTCACAGATAGGAAGTTCTTCCTCATGTTCAGGTGGAATCTCCTGAACATGTTCACCCGGTGGCGCAGTGGATTGTTTAGTCCTGTGCCAGCAGGACTGAAGACCGACAGGTCGCAGGTTCAAATCCGGGGAGAGGCGGATGAGCTCCCTCTATCAGCTCCAGCTCCCATGCGGGGACATGAGAGAAGCCTCCCACAAGGATGATAAAAACATCAAATCATCCGGGCGTCCCCTGGGCAACGTCCTTGCAGACGGCCAATTCTCTCACACCAGAAGCGACTTGCAGTTTCTCAAGTCGCTCCTGACACGACAAAAAAAAAAGGTGGAATCTCTTTCCTATAGTTTGAAGCCATGCGAAATAGGTCTCTTTTATACCACCTACTTTGTATTTTTGGATCTTTGGTTTCTTCCATTCTACAGAATTACAGCAATTTAATATTACTAAAACTGCCATGATGGCATCCAAAACAAACCTAATACTTTGGAGTTTGGGGAAGCAGTAGAGCTCTCTAGCAGAGAACTCTCACTAAGCTACAAAGTCCAGGAACTGCAAATAGGAGCTGTAAAAGTTGTCAAAGCAAAGTGTTGTGCAAAAGAGAGAGCAAAACCAGGGGAGATTTTGAATTACACTACCCCAAATCCCCAGGGCTAGTTTGGTGAGATTCTGGTATTTGTAGTATCAATTGAAACAGCTCGATCGAGGGAAGCAGGAGACAGCAAGCAAGAGAAGTTGAAAATCAAAATATAGGACAAGATGAATCATAGAATCATAGAATCAAAGAGTTGGAAGAGACCTCCTGGGCCATCCAGTCCAACCCCATTCTGCAGGAATATTGCATTCAAATCACCCCTGACAGATGGCCATCCAGCCTCTGTTTAAAAGCCTCCAAAGAAGGAGCCTCCACCACACTCCGGGGCAGAGAGTTCCACTGCTGAACGGCTCTCACAGTCAGGAAGTTCTTCCTCATGTTCAGATGGAATCTCCTCTCTTGTAGTTTGAAGCCATTGTTCCCTTGCGTCCTCGTCTCCAGGGAAGCAGAAAACAAGCTTGCTCTCCTCCTCCCTGTGGCTTCCTCTCACATATTTATACATGGCTATCATATCTCCTCTCAGCCTTCTCTTCTTCAGGCTAAACATGCCCAGCTCCTTAAGCCGCTCCTCATAGGGCTTGTTCTCCAGACCCTTGATCATTTTAGTCGCCCTCCACTGGACACATTCCAGCTTGTCAATATCTCTCTTGAATTGTGGTGCCCAGAATTGGACACAATATTCCAGGTGTGGTCTAACCAAAGCGGAATAGAGGGGTAGCGTTCCTCTCACATATTTATACATGGCTATCATATCTCCTCTCA